TACAGAAGGAGGACTTTGATCGATGTTTTCGTGTAATAGTTTTTTAGTTGAAGCTGTTATAGTTCACCGCAGATGGACTTTTAGGTATTCTTAAAATACGATTGTACTCGTGTTACTGATATGTATGAAATGTAAGAGTTAAATAAATGGAAATACCGTGGAAATGGAATCCATTAATGTTTAACAACTATCTCACAATCATTGCAATTTCCCAAGTAGATATACTTCTTGATTTGATAACTTAACAAAAGCTTCCAGTTTATTTAATTACGAGATTAATTCTGCTTATTAGCTCAAAAGGCGTTAGCTGAGAAGTTCGTTTTGGCATTTTGCATTGAAAACTTTAAAAGGCTGTATCACTTTTCAAATTGTTGCCACTAAATGTTATCGCACTGTGTTATACTTAAAGAAATTAAATAATGAAGAATCTGCATAAATGTATCTATGTTTCTCGCATTGTGATAAAACTACGGCACCTAGAGCCATCAAATTTTGAACAACGTACGTTTCCACCCGAATATGGGCATCTGAAATCTCAAATTTGGAATTTGGAATTTGCTTTATTATCTATTTCATGTTTTTTCAACCTTTAAAGAATTTTTGATCAACAAACTCAACGATTTTAAGGCGAGCAATGGTAGCACTGTATGGGAAAAAAAAAAAAAAATTATCTCCAGCGCGCGATACTGTGTATCGGAAATTCTAAAAATATGCTCTTTTTAAATTTGTAGAGACATTAGGTTATTTCGGAAGCTGGGGAGATGAAAAATGAGCAACGCCCTCGCCAGGAATCGAACCACGGACGTCTGGAATACGCGCCCAGCGTGCAGACCGCTACACTACGAAGACATGCTAAGAAGGCGGGAGAAATACCTTATAAATTATTGTGTGATTTTGCTGTTGAATTTAATTTTATGGTTTAAATGCAAAAGAACAGGATATTTAATAAATAAAGGCAACACACAAAACATTAAAGAAAGCCCCTTTGGGCGTAACATAAAATCTGAAAACCTTGAGATTTTTTTTTTTTTTAAATTATTTGGCCGGATTAAAATAAATGTTCGACAGGAATTCACTTTTATTGAATGTCATTAATAATACCTTATCCATACATAATGCCAATTCAGAGAGGCAACTTTTTTTTTTAGTCGTACTCTTGGTTAAATGCTTGACAAAATAGAATACCGGAACAGTCATCATCAGAAACACGATAGAATCTAGATGGACAGCTGGTTCGTTAAAGTGACTATCTTTCATCTCTCATGTTTTATTAATATGATAAATCAAAACGTGTTTACGTTTGCAATCACTAATTGCATCGTTTTCGTTTGAAAGTCAAATATTTGTCCAAATTAATGACATTTGTCATTTTTTGAGATGTAATTTCCATTTAGCAATCAAAATACTCTCAGTTTGTCCGGATTAAACATCTTGATCTGGGAAGACTTGACTTTAAGGGCATCAGCTTTCTCGAAAATTCGTCAACAGTTATTGTACTTTGGGATCACCGGTCATCTTGATGCCGGTAGCACGAACGAATGCACGAACTTCGCTCAAACCACAGGAAAGCATATCTTTAGTTTTCTGTGCCCTACTTAGATCATTGTTTCTTAATGCATAAGACGTTAAAATTACTTAGAAAGTAATATTTTTCCCAATAAAATTTGCATATAACTGGGGAATTTTTTAAGCAGAGATTTCTGCACAACTTTCCAGACTAATCGATGCATAGGAAATAGAAATCTTCTTTATAAAGACTATTTTGTGTAAATTTTAAATGTTTAAAACTGTTCGATAAAATTAGACATAGTCCTTATTATATTTATTCGTAGCGGACCGTTAGAGTTACATGATTTTTAACCACACTTTAGTTCCTCGTTTATGTAAAGGAAGTATTGTAATTAAAAAAAGTTCCGGGTACCATATTTCAATGAAATATAGTTCGACCGTCTCAAGCGCAACCCTCGTTGGCATTCTCCCAAAACACATAGACTCGTCCAAAAGGGGCGGCATTACTTGCTGCGCGACGTGAATTGTCTTCTCTTTTCCGGAAATAGCTAATGCTGGAGGTAAAGAAAGTCCCCAATCCTTCCACCCTATTTTAAGAATAATTCGCTCCGAACGGCGCATGCGTGTTTACGCTCATGGTCGCGGATGAGGCGGTCGAACTATACCCATTTTGGCCGCTGAAGAATGCGATTTAACGATGTTTTTCGTGGCATCTGTATGTAAGGACAGAGTAAAGGACTCTTTTTTCCACAAACATATTACAATACTGATTTTAAATGGATTCAGAAGAGTAGTGGCGTCTGTTGAAAAACGAATAGCCTCAGAATGTTGAAATTTTGTATATAGAACTGCTATAACATGTAGTTGTGCACCTACCTTTTTGCTTGCAATCGGACGCACCAAAAGTATATAAATATAAATATATATTTATATGTGAACCCACTTTGTTACTCGGCTCAATGAGCTCAGTTTTTTTAATGTTTTTTTGTTGGTAAATTGTGCACTTTTTTGCTTTATAAGTGATTAAATTATATTATTCTTATGTTTTCCGGTTAAAATTCTTATGCATTTAGTTAATTAGCATGCAATAGTTGTAGAATTATCAACAATTTAAAAATTGTTCAAGTTCCACTAAGCCTAACGACGCTGCATTTGACACTTAGTAGCATAGTGAATTAAGTCAGTTTCTGCACCAACTTCAGTGTCATTTTGCGGAGTAGGGCCAAAAGCTCTGTGCATCGAAAGATCTGTCTTTCTGCTTAATTTTAATCAATTTAAACTCATCAATTTAAACTAATCAATTTATTATCAATTTAAACTAACCAATTTATTATCAATTTAAACTAATACATTTAAACAATTAATTTTAATTGTGAAATTTTTTTTAAGGTTTTTAATTCTATTTGGTGTTTAAATGCATAAAGAAATGTGCATAATTTGGCCGCACAAGGAAATCATGTGGTGTCCGCATCATATTTTTTGTTATGATTGCGCAATTAAATAAAACTTATCTAACTACTATTTCATTTATGCAAAAACTATGCTCGACGTATTTTATTGTCAGTTCGCTTAAATGGGGCAAATGATATCATATCCCTTTTGCTTATGTGCGTGCTTGTCATGAATTCTGTGCAAATGAGAGAGCTGATTTCTTAGCTAAAGATGCCTTAAATTTACCCATCCATCGACATCAATATTAGCATTCCACAGAGTTAATGGAAGTCCTTTCATAATATGAAGATTTTAGCTAAGTGTAATGGGGAATACATTTCATATGGTACTGCTGAGGGCGTCAAAAAGTTATTTACTTCTATTTACCATAGACTGCATTCTGAGTCTGTCTTCTCCATTAATTTTAAAGTATCTCAGTTTTTATCTAGTCACGATAAATTTGCAAGTTACCTGTTTCATTTCAATCTAAGACCAAATAATTTATGTGAGTGCTCAAACAAAGTACCTCAAGATGTGGAACATTAAATTTTCCCCTATCCTGCCGAGTACACGAAAAATGAGCAATGCCCTCACCGGGACACGTACCTGGATCTCTCGAATATGCGCCGAGTGTGCTAACAGTTACACCAGGAAGGCATGCTGGAAGGAGGAAGACCTTCGGTTGTGCAGTTAGTTCTATATATACTATTGTTCTTTATAATATCCGAATTGTTAACAAAGAAATTATTTGAATTTTCTGTGGCATTGGTATTAAGCAATTCTGAAAAAATTACTTGCATTGTGGTAATTTATGAATTTTGCTCTATATTGGGTCTACTGCCAGTGTTCTTGATCCTGAAGTTTTGGCAAAAAATTCAGTAAATACTGCTTCGCAAGATTTACCGGTGCCTATTCACCGGATATAGCTTTGTTTAATTTTCATCACTGAAACTGTAAAATCGTGGTAATGGTTTTGAGTCTGTTGATGCAAAAAAGTGAAATTTGTTACAAAATTCGAAGAAGTTTCACGAAAACAATTTTAAGATTTGTTTCACGGACTTGAAGAAATGTTGGAATAAGTGCATTCAATCAAAAACTATTGCTTTCCAAGGGATTTGATAAATATTGACCAATAAATTTAAATCTTGCGTTTTAAATTAAATCTTGCGTTATTTCTGATAATTCCTGATAATCCATTTCTGTTAATCTCTAAAATGAATACATTTTTATGTAGCTTAATTCAAGATATACATGAACATTTCATTAAAACAGGTTAATGAGTCAAATTTTAACTTAATTAAAAATTGCAGTTCTTAATGGTTTTTTTTTTTTTTTTTTTTTTTTCTGAAGCTTCAGTTTTAGGACAGAGAAAATTTGACTTGCCATATTTGTTTACTTAAATTAGGCATTTTAATATTTTAATATAGCTTAGTATGAATTAATTTATGTTATTAGAATTAAATTAAAAGTTTCAATTTTAATTTATTTTTTATTATTTTTTTTATGTTTTTTTATTTATTTATTTATTTATTTTTTGTTTCTTCAGCTGTAATCTAGTCAGTTATTTCAATATTGTTTATCCTTTGCATGCATCCAACGTAATAGTCATGGCCTACTAATATTATTGATATTTGTTTAAAAACTACTATTTTATTGATATCTGCCAATAAAATGCATTGATAAAGAAATCATGTCTTGACTATAATATCCAAAATATGAGGTAAAGGAAGCTTCGTTTAACTGAATGTTTGAATACAAATTAATTTAATTTGAATTGAATTTTTAGTTAATTTATTTAGTATATTTTGAGTTGATTGAATTTTTGGTTTTTGGTTTGGTCTCTTAGTGGGAGAATATAGAATACCCATCAGGCTATTTAATTAATTATTCAAAATTATCGAGTTTTTAAAAAAATGAAGATATTTTGTACTCAAAGCTTTAAAAATTCAGTTTCTATAATGGCTCTGTAATATTCCGCTAATAAGGTAATCCATGCTTAATTTCAGCGATTATTTTAACATTTTTAACATTATTTTAACACTATTGTTTTATTATTACAGGCACTCAGTGGCTTTCTTCTAATTCTCACATGTGATGGCGAAGTTTTTTACACATCGCACACGGTTGAAACATACTTGGGCTTTCATCAGGTAAGCTTGAATTTTCTCTTTACACGAAGGTAATGCATTCTGAGGAAATCTTTTCAGTGTAAATAATTATTAATAGGATACAAATTGAAGAAAAGGGTGCACTTAAAATTTTAAATTCGCTTGTTTCTCCTGCAGTTAGCTTTAAAGAAGTAAAAAACCCAAAAGATTATCTTACACCTAGGTATGTAACGTATGTCTGTGGAAGTATTTCATATTTATTACATTACTCTTGAAAATGCGCACAAGAATTATCATTTCGATATATTATAAATATCTTTTAAATAGCATATGCTTGCTAAGCTATTATTGTTATAATTTGAGTGATAATTTAATGATCTTATGCCATATCAAAAGACAACACTCGGAGAAACTACAGTTTATTTGTTATGTATTTCCCAGAAAAACTATAATTTAAAATCTAAATTAAAGATCTGGTATAACGTGCAACCCTTGCCAGATATCGTCGATGATCAATTCCCTATTAGCATAATGTAACTCAAAGTCCAAAATACTGCTCTATAACCATTTCTAACATCAAATGTCACAAGTAAATGCAAATAATATTGTGTCAGTCCATAAATTCGTGCGCATTTTTGGTAAATTTTTAAACAATATAAAATACACAATTTAACATTTTAATCAATTATATATTTTCCTCCATTATCTGCAATGTCTCGCCATCTTACAGGCAGCTTTTTCATGCCATTGCTGTAGAACGACTCTGGTTTTGATGCAAAAACACTTGGAAGTTCATTGTGTACATCCTGTTTAGAATTAAATTTTTTTCCCAATAAAACATTTTTGAGGGACGAAATAAGTGAAAATCACTTGGGGTAATATCTGGAGAGTAAGAAGGATGTGGCAAAAGCTCCCAATTAAATTCGCTAATTTTTTGCAGCATTGTTCGAGCCGTATGCGGTCTAGCGTTATCATGATGAAACAACACTTTCTTGATATTCACCCATCGTGGGCATTTTTTGATCTATTCTGAGTTTAGACGGCAAAGTTGTTCACTATAAACTTCTGAATGAATCGTTTGATTTGGTTTTAACAGTTCGAAACGTCCTGAACGGGGTTCATCATCTGTGGTGCTTTTTCCAACTTTAAATTTTTTAAACCATTTCTGGGCAGTCCTTACACTAATAGCGTGTTCACCATGTACACAATTAATTTTTATCGCTGCAAACCTGGCAGATTCGCCACACGAAATTAAAAAATGTAGCACAACACGTTTGTACTGATTATCTATATTTATCTTCTATGGGTACTAAAATGTGTTCGATATTTACAAAAGTTGGTCATGAACTGAATAATATGTTAGTCAAACGATGACAAGTTTCAACAGGTTCAAAATTGTATTGTTTTAGTAAATGCGTCATAGTGAATTCCACGCATACTCTTAATGCTCATGAACTTATGGACTGAACCGATAATGGATGTACAGGACATTTTTACGGGAAATATGAATGTAACACGTAACTGTTTTATTTAATTTACATATACAAGTAATTGTAATACTCAATCATCATTATCTACTGCCTCTTCTCTTCTACTAAGCCAGCGCATGATTCCGTGCTTGTAAAACTTCTGGTCTAATATCTTAATATACAGGTTTTCATGTCTTCGATTATCGACCTCTTTCTAGCATGCTAGCTGCAAAACTATAACATTTAGTATATAAGAAATTGCTTGAAAGCGTAAGGTTTGAGAATTATGAAGGGTGAAGGAGTTAAACCCAAACTCTTAGAATTTCTGCAAGTTATCACAGGTTAAAGTGCATGGGACACCAGAAAATTTTACTACAGAAACGAAACGATATTGCCCTGATACACTAACCAGCTAGGGTACGAAAAACAGGAGTTGATTGTAAGTCTTTTTCTCCTAAGGAATACTGGAGTTGTTATCAAGTATACACGGATGTTGTCGTGTTACAAACACACCGTTTCCTTACTATTTTCCTTTGAGTTCTGTCAAGTATTTTACTGCAATACAGCGCAGTCATTTTACAAGGTATTTCCCCCGCCTTTCTAGCATGCCTTCGTAGTGTAGTGGTTCTGCACTCTGGCCCGATATTCCAGAGGTTCGTGGTTCGATTCCCGGCGAAGGCGTTGCTCATTTTTTATCTCTCCGGCTTCCAGAAATATACCTAATGTATATGTCTACAGTGGCGCTCGAACTAAAAAAAAGGGTCTTGGGTGAGGATTCTCCACACCCAGGATTTGGCGATTGGGTCCCCTAAAAACCCCAGTCGCCCTTTAAAAAGGGGAGTATATAAGGTTCGCCGCCTTCCTAGCCTGCCTTCGTGGTGTAGGGGTCAGCACACTGAACCGGTATTTCAGAGGTCCGTGGTTGGATTCCCGGCGAAGGCGTTGCTAATTTTTCATCTCTTCTGCTTCCAAAAAATTACCTTATGTCTCTAATTTTACATTCTTTTGTCAGCAGTACGTATGGATTGATGTTACTGACAATTTAAAAACATTTCACCGTGATCTTCAGCATACCATAATGCATCTTTGGCATTGGAATTCCTCGTTTACTGGAAGTGAACTTGTGTCCCTTGAGAGACTGTTTAACATAAAAATCCAATTTTCATCACCATTAACCACATTGCGGAACGATGCTGCAATATATTCATAGATAGAAGTTGGATACGTGCCATCAGTTTGTTTGCCATATGATCGAGGATAAATTCATGCGATACTCTTTACTTATGACACTTAACTCTTCGCGAGTTTCTTCCGCTGAATAGAATGCTTGATCTGAAGCAGATAAGCAACTGTGCAGTTTGTCGGATTTGAGCTTAGTCTTTTTAAATGTAAAAATCCTAAAACTCATGTAAACAAGGAAATAATTCAAAATTTTTAAGCAAATGTCCTTTTAACAAAACTCAGTACACAGTCAGCATCCGCAGCCACCTAAAAGTGAAAGCTTTTCGAAAAATTGTACTCTCTTGCCCGGAACTGTTAGAATCATTTCTTCATCATGCTTTATAGAATGCATAAATTTTTCCATGCTCATTCTGCAAGTGCTCGAATCTCAATACACGAAATATAAAGAGCTTTACTTGTTTTTGCTGAAATCAGTTTTGAAATTTACATTTTGTATGTGTGTGCACTTGCGTAACGCTCACATATGCGAGTGCGAGTGTAGACAGTTTGCTAATATTTGTGAAGTTACGTGCAACAAATTTTCTAAAAGCAGTGGGTTGTCAAACAAATTTTTAAAAGATTAACCAGATTTCCTCTGGACAATCTGATAATTAAAGAAAGGAACGATAAATTTTATAACCATGGAATTATATTTGAATACAATTAGCAGACCGATGCCTTTTAAATAAAAACTTTGTAAAGGGATTAGGCTTTTTTTTAAGCAGAAAAATGTGCATTGCCCTCGCCAGGATTCGAACTCCAGACCTCTCGATTACGTGTCGAACGTGCTTCCAGTTACACAAGGAAGGCACGCGGAAAGGAGGAAGAAACAATTTTATATAATCTCCCTTTAAAGGGCGACTGGGGATAAGGGGACGCATTTACCAGATTCTAGTGGTGTCGAATAATCATCCACCACCTTTCAGTTCCGACGCCAGTGGTTTTTTTTTTTTTTTTTTTTTTTTTTTTTTTTTTTTTTTTTGGTTTTTTTTTTTTTTTTTTTTAATGGTGGTTCTTTAGCCGAATTTGACTTGGCCACTACCAAGGCCAGAAGTTGTGTTCACTTTATTCTGGAGGCACCTAATAGGCCGGCCATCTTTCCCTCCTATGAAGGGACGGACAGTTACAGTTACAACAATGCCTTCTCCAGGATTCAAACCCGGGCCCTTTAGTGTCGCAGTCGGCTTCCCTAACCACTATACCGTCTGAGCGGAAACAGTTGTGGTCACTTTATTATGGAAGCACCTAATAGGCGAGCCAACGTTGCCTCCTATGAAGAGACGGACAGCTCTACCCGATGAGACAGCTCCTGACCTAAGCTGTCCTGTATGACAACGAACAGGATGATGCCATCCCACGGAAGGAAGAAACTATCATTAGCACACCACAGCGAAGGGCCGGGGGGCGGATCAGATGTGGTAAATTGAACGATAGTCATAAGAAAATGAAAGTTTTTGTTACGAAGACTATTGTGCCTTGTGCAGTAGGTGATTCGTACGATTAGAAAAAGAAAAAGGATTTGGGATAAAAACTATGTCTTTGAAGGGAAAATGTAAAAAGCATTGATATGAAAGTTAGGCTTGGTTATTGTTAAAATTACAATCATGCCTTCTCCAGGATTCAAACCCGGGCCCTTTGGTGTCGCAGTCGCTCCCCTAACTACTTTATCGTCTGGGCGGCACCGGGACCACTTGTAGAGTCATTAGATTTTTTTTTTTTTTTTTTAAGGTAAAGACGTGAAAAATGTGCAATGCCCTCTCCGGCATTCAAACTCTGGACCTCCTGAATACTCGTCGGGTATGCTTCCCATTACACCACGAAGGCACGCGAAAAAGAGAAAGAAAATACCTTATAACATTTTTTTAAAATATATTGCAGCAATTAAATTCTTGAGGCATGATATTTCCGTGCTAAGAAGACATAAGAGCGCATGTTTAGCACCAATTCTACCTACACTGTTGAAGAAGAATCAACTCTTTTCAGCCATCTGAAAACGGAAGTAAAGTAATATTTAAAGTCTAAAAAGGGTAAAAAAAGTGAATTTAAAGAAAAGGAAAGTGTTTTTAATTCGGGAACGTAAAAACTCAAAGATATCAAGTTAAACTGTAAATGTGTCTTTCTTGCAAATTACCCTGTGTGCTTAAGAAACAAACCTTTTATTTACGCTATCTCGCATTTCTTTTCAAACACTGTCGGTGCACCAAGGACTAGCTTATTAAATTGTATTAAATAATTCTAGCTACTTTTGAAAATGGTTTACATGTCAGTATACGCGCAAACTTCTAATAAAAAAAAGAATTATTTTCAAGTAAATGTCTTTTCAACTACCTTTATAGATCACCGAGATATCAT